AAAAAAAAAAAAAAAGCTATGGAAAATAACCACAGATGACCATATAGGAGAAGAGGGGCTAGAATGTGTCTGGGGGACCATACCAATCTGCATAAAACATGTCTCGATCTCTCATCACCAGTTCAGACTGGGAGGTTCGCTTGAGATTCAGACAGCCCAAGAAGAAACACAAAACTGTGGACTAAATAAACATCTTTCTTCTGCCGCTCAGGTATAGTCCATCTGTTTAACAGCTCTTGCAGCCCCAGCCACTGTATACTCACAGCAGTCCTTGGCTGCTTAAGCCTCCCCTTCTCGCAGCTGTCCTCAGCTACTTAATCCACATTTGTATCATAATACACAAAAGTAGCCATGTGCCAGGAATGACCTTGGTATATAAGCTACACAGGACAGCATCAACCTTGGCTATATTTGTTATTTACACTGAGACCGACGAGGTGCACCTGCACCAAAATCTTGCTGACTTGGCCTTAATGTCCACCAGAAACCCCTTAGACTGAACCAAAGTACTGTTAACTTGCACTTTTGCGTTTCCCTACACTTGGATACTGTCCACAGCAAAAAGAACAGAGGCTGAGGATGTCCCAACAACAGCTCAACACAGTGGAAGGTCAAAGTATTAAAAAGAGGGCTGGGGATTTGGCTCAATGGTCCTGCCGCCTGCCTCGCAAGTGCAAGGGCCTGAGTTTGATCCCTGGTACCAAAAAAAAAAAAAGTATTAAAAAGAATAATAATACCAATAAAATATGCGGACTATGCCTTCCCAGCAACTGTGAGGAGGCCCCATAAACAACTTCAACAGCTAGTCAAATATCCACACCCTGAACTATGCTAAGAGCCCTCCAGGGAGCCTTTTCCTTGAGAGGTAAGGCACCAAAACACAGTTTGGCACCAGCCACATAGGCAGGTGTCAGCACTTACCATACTGAGAGATTCAGCACCACCACAGAGCGTCACCTCCCATTACTGACAGAGGCCGGGCCGGTCCATAAATCTAGAGAGGAAGCAGGACAGACTGAGAGAGGGCTCAGGAAGAGCCTGGAATGTCACAGTGCTAGTGGCCTACCTGTTTCAGAAAATAATGGGGAAAAAATAATAACTAGAGGTAGGCAGACCATTTAAAGGTTATAAAAGATGACAGGATCGGCTACAATGCAGAGAAATGAGGATCTCATACATTATCACTGGGAATGTGGACGTCCCTGTGGAAAACAAGGCAGTTCCTCAAAATGCTAACCAGAGTTAACTTATGATCTGGAAATTCTATTCCTATGTATCTATTCAAGAGAAATTAAAACATGTCCAAACCAAGACTTGTTCATGAATGTTCATAACTGCATTGTTCATGATAGCCAAAAGGTAGAAACCATTCAAATGTCCATCAATGGATGAATGGACAGTGAAATGTCCTATATCCACACAAGCTATTAGTCATAGTAAATAAAATAAAACTCTGAATCACGTTACAACACAGAACCTTTAAACATTATGCTAAATAAGATTCAAGGAGGGAGAGGATGCCATACACAAAAGGGTTCATACTGTCTGATTCCAATTATAGGAAATATCTAGAGTAGGCAAGTACATTAGTGGGCCAGGGAAGAAAAGACAACTGGGAAGGGCTACAGCTTGAACATAGTTTGTTCCCTCCAAAACTTGATGAGATATGTTCCCAATGTGAATGCTAAGAGTCAATGAGCCTTTAACAGTACCCTCTCGCTCTCCTCCCCTCCCTCCGCCTTTTGAGACTGGATCTCAAACGCACTAGGTTTTCCAGGGCAGGCTGGCCTCAAACTTGCAGTTTTCTCTCTCAGCCTCCTGAGTGCTAGAATCACAGGAGAGCAACACTACACCCAGCTGAATTAATGCCTTTCCCGTGAGAGTAGGGAATGAGTTTTTTCCCTTGCACTACTTGATTAGTTACAATGAGTTATTAATAAGCAAGGCAAGGGCCGGGGATTTAGCTCAGTGGTTCTTACCCCTGCCTCACAAGTGCAAGGACCCAAGTTCGATCCCCGGTATCAAAAAAAACAAAATAAAGCAAGGCTACTGCTCATGCTTTGATCCTCTGGGACACTTGCTTGTCCTTAAGACTTTCCAACATGAATTGAAGCAGCACAAGGCCCTCAATATGTGTGGCCACTCGGTCTCCAGAAGCTTAAACCAAAATAAATTACCTTTCTTTAAGAAAATCTCAGGTAGAGCTGGGTGTGGTGGCACACACCTGTAACCCCAACACTCAGGAGGCTGAGGCGGGAGGATGTCATGAGTTCAAGGACAGCCTGAACCACACAGTGAAACATTGTCTCAAAAAACAAACAAACACACAAAAAACACAAAGTCTCAGGTATTGTTACAGAAACAGAAAACAGAATGAGAGAAAGTATCTACTAACAAGTTCAGGAGTTCTATCTCAGAGATGAAAAAATATTTAAACTGATTCTGGTGGTGGCTACACAACTGTTAATACACTAAAAATGGGGCCAGGGATTTAGCTCAGTGGTTCTGCGCTCTGCCTTGCAAACGCAAAAGGACCTGAGTTCGATCCCTAATACCCAAAAAGAAAAACAAACACTAAAAATGATTCATTTTATACTATAAAAAGGAGAACTATATGGTATGTGATATGGTATGTGAAATACATCTCAATAAAACTGTTGTTTAAGACAACATGCTGCAGCCAGGCGTGGTGGCACATGCCTGTGATCCCAGCACTAGGAAGGCTGAGGCAGGAGGATCGAGTTCAAGACCAGCCTGAGCTACACAGTGAATTCCAGGTCAGTCTCAATTACATAGTGAGACCCTGTCTTTAAAAAAAAAAAAAAAAGCAGGGTGTGGTGGCGGACGCCTGTAATCCCAGCACTAGGAAGGCTGAGGAAGGAGGATCGCTGTGAGTTTGAGACCAGCCTGGGCTACAGAGTGAGTTCCAGGTCAGTTTCAACGACATAGTGAGACCCTGTCTCAAAAAACAAAACAAAAAAAAAAAACCACAAAAATTTTAAAAACAAAGGAGAAATAGTATATGAGTCCATTTATGTGAGGGACCTGGATAAGGCAAATTCAGAGACAGAAAGAATGACTGAGGGGCTGTGGGGAGGGAACAATAGTTAGTGTTTAATGAGGACAGTTTCAGTTTTGCAAGATGAAGAGCTCTGCAGGTGGAATGGCGGTGATGTTATGAACTACATTCACATTCTTGTGCAGCAGGATTTATTTCTTCTGGTGGTATTTTAGTATTTGTTATCCAAAGTACAAGTATTTTAGTACTTTTTATCCAATCTCCCTCTTCCCCCTTCCTTCTGTCCTTCCTAGACTCTAATGCCTACTACTCTGTTCTCTACTTCTACAAATCGACTTGTTTAACTTCCACATATGAGTGAGAGCCTGGGATATTTGTCCTTTTGTGCCTGGCTGACCAATTTTTTTTTTTTAAAATGATAATGTCAAGTCCTTGCAAGCATACAAAGCAACTAGAACTCTCACAACATTGCTGACGGGAAAGTAAAATGGTTCAGTCGTGCTGGAAAATACTTTCTCCTAAAGTTAAACACGCCTTTAGCATAGATACAGCGATCTCAATCTTAGCTATCACCTTAGAGAAATAGTCACATAAAACTTGCACAGAGATGTTTAAAGCAACTCCACATCACCAAAAACTGGAAACAATCCGAATACCCTTCCGTTGGGAGAAAGGATAACTGTAAAATACGACATACTGGAATGCTTACTTCTATGTTAATAAAATATTACTATCAAGTAAGAGGAATAAACAATTGATACGTGGAACGATTTGGATGAAATCTCGGAGGTGTTATGCCATGTGAAAGATGACAGTCTCAAAAGATGGTGCACCATGTGATTCCATTTATATCACATTCCTGATACAACAAAGCTATAATGATAGCAGCCAGGAACAAGGAATGGTGCCTACAAACAGGTGGCATAGGGCATTCTGTATTGATGGTGGTAGTAGCTTCAGAAATTAATAATGTATCAAAAATCACAACTGTACACTCCAAGAAAAGCCAAATAATTTTAAATTTAATATAAAAATATCTTAATAAAAATAACCTCTTTGTTTTGTACTGGGGACTGAACTTGGGACCTTGAACTTGCAAGGCAGGCAGCAGCACCACTGAGCTAAATCCCAGCCCAACCATCATTTTTTTGTTTCCTGGTACCAGGGTTGAACTCAGGACCTTGCACTTGCCAGGCAGGTACAGCGTCACTGAGCTAAGTCCCCCAACAAAACAACCATCATTTATAAAAATACTGCAAGAGGGCCAGGGATTTAGCTCAGTGGTTTCACCGCCTGCCTTGCAAGCGCAAGGTCCCAAGTTCGATCTCCGGTACCAAAAAAAAAGTGAATACAAAAAATACTACAAGATATGTTATGTACATTTACCAACTCCCCGTGATGAATGTACTCATTCTAAACTGCAAACATGTACTAATAACAAATACATGAAAAAAATAAAAAATGCTGCTGGGTAACAATCCAAATATCAGACAAAACAGAGTTCAAACACAAAAGTATCAACCGTGGCAAAAGGCTCAATCACAATGATGACAAAACACTCAAGAATATGAACCAAATAACACAGGAACCAACTTTAAGAAGCAAATTCCAAGATGGGCATGGTGGCGCAGGCCTGTAAGCCCAGCACTCGGAAGGCTGAGGCAGGAGGATCACTGTGAGTTCGAGACCAGCCTGGGCTACAAAATGAGTTCCAGGGCACCCTGTCTCAAAAAAACAAAAACAAAAACAAAGGAAATTCCACAGAAGATGCAAAGAACATAGAAAGTAATACAAAAATGAGAACCTTTACACCACTCTCAATACAAGACAGATCAAGGGCCGGAGATTTAATTCAGTGGTGCCGTCACCTGCCTTGCAAGTGCAAGGTCCAGAGTTTGATCCCCAGTACGCCAAAAAATAAATAAATAAAATATAATATAAACATCAAGGGAAGCATAAAGAACAAACGGAAACTCCCTTAGTGTTGTAACTTTCCTCTAAAATTTAAAAATTTGTAAAAACTTACAAAGAAATAATCATCTAAGATTCCACATTCATCACCCTGCGTGAAAGCAGTTCAACGATGATGGCCAGGTACTTATTCCCCATGAATCCCAAAAGGAGCTTTAAAAGAGCTATAAAATAAAAATGACAAAGTGAATACAGTACCAAGTGAGTAAAGTTTACCAGAAACGCTGGAACCAGAAATGTTTTGTACTTCAGATTTCCTTTGGATTTTGGAAAGTGATCTATCTCGGGATGGGGTCCAAAATTCCTTCATGTTTCACATACATCCTAATAGATGGCCTTATACATACTTTACATACTATGTTTGTTTTGTTTTTGGTACCAGGGATCGAACTCAGGACCTTGCACTAGCAAGGCAGGCAGTGGAACCATGGAGCTAAATCCCCGGCCCTCTGGGAGCGTTGTGGATTTTCACGTTACAGGTACCCAACGTGTATTCATTTCTCAGATCCCCAATCCGGCAGCTGTATTTTTCTCACAATAACATATTCACCCCTTCAAGCTTACAAGTTTCCAAACTCTATAAATATGGTGTCCGCAGCCTAAGAACGCAGGAAAAGAAATAACAGTTGGGGCACATGGGTTGCCCTGTCCAGAGTGAATGAATGGAAAGTGGTGGTGTTTGCTGACCCAGGCTGGCCCCAGGAGTCCAGAAGCTAAAGCCCAACGGTTCTGGCAAAACTTGGCTGAGTGACTGGCTTGGCATGGATGCCCTTGCCTAGCTAGGTCTGTTTCCTCTATGTGACACTTTGAACTACACAATGATTCTAAAACTAACCAGCCCCGTTGCTTCTGTACATTTTTTTTTTTTTTTTTTTTTTTTTTTTTTTTTTTTTTTTTTGGTTTTTTGAGACAGGGTCTCATTATGTAGTTGCGACTGACCTGGAACTCACTGTGTAGCCTAGGCTGGTCTCGAACTCAGCGATCCTCCTGCCTCAGCCTCCCGAGTGCTGGGAACTTCTGTATATTTTTAATGAGAAAGAAAATTTTGTGACACATGAAAAGATCATGGAGTTTATACAAAATTCAAATTTCATAAATATTTTTGGCTGAATCCATACTGTAATACCAGAGTTCAACAGCCAGAGTATGGCCCCCAAGGGCAAAAATTCTAACTAAAACATTGTTGTTTAAACCGAGTGTGGTGGCGCACGCCTGTAATCCCAGCACTCGGGAGGCTGAGGCAGGAGGATCACTGTGAGTTCGAGACCAGCCTGGGCTACACAGTGAGTTCCAGGTCAGTCTCAACTACGTAGTGAGACCCTGTCTCAAAAACACCAAAAAAAAAAAAAAAAAATCTTGCAATAATATAGTTACAAAAAGGTTGCTGACCCCTGAAGGAGACCATTCTAAAGATACTCTATTTTAACTACAGTAATGAAGCACACAGAAAGAACCTTAGCTGTATAGAATTCGAAATTACAGCCTATAATAATCCAAGTCCTGAGGAGCTGAGTGCCCCCAAAGACACCTCTGCAGTCACCTGAACGCGTCAGGTGAGATCCATTTGCAGCAGCACGGTCAGGATTCTCAGCTGGAGTCGAGCTGACCCAGCAGACGACCTTAAGGAAGTCGCTTCAGCTTCCGGATGCCTCAGTTTCTACCCGCGTGAAAGACACTAATAATGACAGCACTCACCTCGCCGGGCTGCTGTGAAGGTGAAAGGACGCCAGGAAAGGGTCAGCGCCAGGCTTTGCGCTCCGCGCCCGCGAGTGGACAGTGCTCTCGCAGCGGTCACGGTGACCCTCTCCCGAGAACAGAACCCTCCCAGACACCTCAGGGCAGCGCCCAGCGCCGCGAGAAAGCCCGCGGGGCTCTCGCAAGGCCCCGCCTAGTCCTACTGCCTTTCCGGACTGTTTCCCACATTGGCCCTCGGGATGCGGAGGAAGCCTCCGGCCTCCTCTCGGGATTCGGCCCTCGACCCGCAGCGCTCGGGCCCGCTCAGCCGCGCCCCCACTCGCGAGCAGCAAAGGTGCGGTCCCGGCAATCTCTCGGCGTCTCCAAGGCAACCGCCCGGCAGCCCCGACCCCCGCACCCGCCGGTCGCACGCCTGACAACAAGCTGCGCTCTCATTGGCTTGGTTGCCGGCCCTTCTAGCCAATCAGCGCGGGCACACGCTCCTCTCACCCGCCGGGTGGCTCAGGCGGACCTGCAGGGGCCTCTTAGCTCCGCCTGGCGCGCGCTGGCGGATGAAAGTGAGGCTCGCTCTTTCCGTACCCATGGATCAGGCTCCCAATGCTTGAGCCGCCTGGGCGCAAGCGCGAGATCTGACTTCCAGTACTGGGCGGCCCCCTGGTCCTGAGCAGCGTCCGGAGGGGCTCGTGTTCTCGTTCTGCTACAGCACAAGTGCTCTGAAGGGAGTGGGAATTTGGGGAACACTTAGATGGAACGAAGGGTGGAAAAGCTTTCTCATTCATTCTGCCACCCGTACCTCACACGCTCCCAAAAGTTGAAGCCCGAGAGGCACAAACATTTATTACAATACCAGGACCCTATAAATGAATGGGGAGGGGCTCAAGAATTCGCCTTGAAAGAAGTTTTAGAGTTAAAAGGCTTCTTATAAGTGTTTTCGGGAAGAGCTTCCACACTGTGGGATGATTTAAACAAGAATGAATGTTATGATCTTTTTTTCCTTAAAGACATTTTTTTTTTTTTGTACTAGGAATTGAATCCAGGGGCAATCTACCCACGAGGTACGTCCTCAGACCTATTTATTTATGTATTTATTTATTTATTTATTTAGAGACAGGGTCTAGCTAAATTATCCCGGCTGGGCTGGAATTGCGGTCCTTCTGCCTCAACCTCCTTGAGTAGCTAGGATGACAGGCGAGCGCTACACCAGCAAAATAAATGTTAAAAAATAAATAGACCTAGGCCCGGGGATTTGTCTCAGTGGTTCGGCCGCCTGCCTCGCAAACGCAAGGGTCCGATGTCCGATCTCTGGTACCAAAATAAATAAGTAAACAAACCTAAAAGAAAGTAGAAATTACCAAGATGTGATACATGTATCAATCCCCCAAGATACATGTAATCGCTATGTATTGGAAACATAAAGTAATTGAAAACATTTTTTTAAACGCACAAAGACGCGCAGCTCCGGAAGCTGAGCGGGGAGAACTTCAAATTCAAAACCAGCCTGGGCTACATCGTTCAGGCTTTCCTAGACTGCATAGCAAGACCCCACTTCAAATAAGTAAGTAAATAAATAATCAAGCCAGCAGGTGGCGCACACCTGTAATCCCAGCACTCAAGGCTAAAAGGCAGGAGGATCAGCAAGATTCAAGGCTAGCCTGGCCAGAAAGGGAAATCCTGTCTCTAATTAATTAATTAATTAAAGACAATAAAATCAGGGTGAATAACTCATTCAGTACCAAAAGAGCTCTACTGGTGACAAGAGGTACAAAAATGACTAGAGTCATCAACCTTGACTTTAAGAAATCTATAGCCTACAAAGTGGGGCTGACAGCGTGGGGCAGAGCAGAAACAGATGGTTTCAAAGCTTCATAGATAGTGTGCATCTTGACTCCAGTTCCCACCCTGAGTTGTATCATCTTCAGAGATGCATTTGAGGGAAAGCTTTGATAAAAGTTAGGAAGAGCAATCACAGCACCTGGGAGATCTGCGATGCCTTCAAAGGGGAAAAACAGTACAGATCATAGGGTAGCACAGTTTTACCAGTGGGAAAATCTCAGAGCCACTGTAGGAGGAGAGAGTACTAGGGAGGAGAGAGGGGGTCAGTTCACTAAACCAGCGTACGACAGCTAGCACCACTAGGGTGAGATGGATAGGTTTGTTCGTGTGTTTGTTTGAGAGAGAGTCTCACTATGTAGTCCAGGCTAGTCTTGAACTCACTGTGGAGTGTAGGCTGGCGATCCTCCCTTCCTCAACCTCCCAAGTTCTGGGATCACAGGCCTGTGCCACCACGTCCAACATCGGACAGATTTAACTTGGGAGACTGTCCTGCTTAGAGTTCGACCTTAATTCCATCCTCAGGCACTGCGGCCATTTGTACACATTCAACCCATAAGCCACACTGGCAGTAGGACACTCGAAACACCCTGGCAAAAGGAATGAACAGGGACAGTTGGGACATCAAGCCAAGGGAAAGAACTCCAAGCTCTAGCTTTGAATGGTCAGGTACAAACACAACAGACATAATCCATTAGAAACTAACTTTATTAAGCCGGGTGTGGTGGCGCACGCCTGGAGTCCCAGCACTTGGGAGGCTGAGGCAGGAGGATCGTTGTGAGTTCGAGACCAGCCTGGGCTACATAGTGAGTTCCAGGTCAGTCTCACTACATAGTGAGACCCTGTCTC